GAATTATAACTTAACGGCAGTGAGTCAGCACAGTTCCAAGTGAGACCTTGTCAGCACAGTCTCAAACAAGCTTTATACAGAGGTATGTGGTAAATACCTTTTGGAAAACAAAAAATCTGCATCTGGGGCCTTTAAGACCAAAGGAGGTCTGACATCAACCATTCAACCGAGATCAGAAGTGAACACTGGCTGCAGTGTTCCCAGCAGGCAGGTACCTTGTCACCTGTGCCACACCTGCAAAGCCTCCTGTTCCCTAGTCAAGTGCAGCATCTGGGAGAAGGTCAGAAAAATCTTATAAATTTGCCTCCCTTTAACCTGAAGGGGGTTTGTCTCCAATGTGGTGCCAAGATGTTAATTCCCTCCGTAATCAGAAGCCCCAGAGCTTGGCTCCATTATCTTCTGTGGGAGGATGCAGGCTCTCCAAAGGCACTGCTGTGTCAAGATGTGCTGGGTTCCCAGAAATATGAGCTCTGTGCACAGTGATCAAGCTCCCTCTCAGGTAATATACTTCACAGCCTGAAAGCTGCTTCCTTAATCTCCCTTTGTAGCTCATGTTTTAATCAGCACCATCTGGGATTAGCTTCCTTTTATTTACTTATTCTTGGGTACAGGCAGTCTTAGATCCTCAGATTTTGGTCAGCCTGTCTGGAAACTCTTCCAAGTTTGAGATCACCAGGTAATGCACTGAACTCTGGGATAATGGTTCCAGGCACTCGAGAGCAGACACAAGACAGCAGCAAAAGTGTCCCATCAGCAGACACGGAACTTAATTGCAGAGTCAACTTTTTAAGGTTGTTATTTCCTCGGCACAGCTGGCTTGTGGGCTGTACAGTCACAGATCCATGCTTGGCTGAGTGATCCAGCACAAATGACCCCATTTTCCCAGGAATGCAGAGGGAGTTTGCTGTGAGCATGGCTCCATTGGCCAGAACAGAAATCAGGCATGTAAATCCCTTTCTTTTAGCCTCAAACTGGTCAAAGGGAAAATTAAATACTCAGCCTTTCTAGCCCTTGTGGGAAAGAACTGAATGAAGCAGGGACAAGCAGCAAGTAATCATCTCTGCCACCTCCCCATTCACTACCCAATTTATTTTGAAGCGCTATTTTTTTTTAGCCTCAGCCATTTGAAACACTTTGCCTAGAGCATGAACTATCACATTTCCCAGCTCAGTGAGTAACCTGTACAGAGTTGTGCTAAACACTTTATGAAAATGCTGTTTTGTGATTTTTTTTCTTTTTCATCATCATGCATTTAAAAAAAAAAAAATCACACATTACATTATTAACTTCTCTTAACTCTTAAAATCTCAGCACCTGCAGTTCCTATTGAGGATTTAGCCAAGCAGAACTCCTGTCTGATATCAAACAATAGTGTGTTTCCCAGTAGGAAAAAAATCCGTAATTGCTTTTCTTTGTTTTTTTTCCCATGGCTGATTAGTCCAACATACATACAGGGAAGCTGCCCCCCTCCGGGATGCCTCAATGCAAACAGCCATAAATGAATTAACTAAAATCAAAACCTCCCTTAACCTGTTCAAAGTCATATTTGCAGCAGAGGTGTATTTATCTTGGTGTATCACTAAGAGTGACAGCAATTGAACAAAACAGGAGGTGGGAATAGACAACTCTCCATAACATCCCACTGAAAAACAAAATTGCTGCCAAATCTAGTGGAACTAGATTAGCTCAGGCCTCTAGGTAGGCTTTCAGCAGCCTCCAGCATCACCACATGCTTCAGGAAAATAAATTATATCCCGCACGGCTGTCCCAGGTTCCTTTCTGCAGGCAGCACTGGTGAGACGGAAAAACTCCTGAGGAGCCTGAGCCAGGCAGCAGAGCAGCAGCAGTGGATGGACACACATGAAGGCAAAGAGCACTCTTGGCCTTTTTTATCCCTCTCCTGAGTCACAGTGCTCCTCTGTGCAGGGAAGCAGGAATGATGCCAGGGAAGCACCGTTGCCTCCTGTCTTCCCCCAGCCTGGCACAGCCTCGTGCCTGTTTGGCACCTTGCAGAGGGCTGATGTTATCGAGGCTGCTGATCCTGTGCCCACGGCAACAGAAGAAGCAGTGACCTCCTAACCCCGGGTCTCTGATCACAACAGGCTTACAGCTGAGACTGACTAAAGCAGCTTTTCAACACCGTGTAGTTCATTAGAAGAACGTCAAGGCTTAGAAGAAAAACCAGTATTATGAGACATCTACAAGCTGCAGAAAACCCAGGTGCTTTCAGGAGCAGATAGGCTCTTGGCTGAGCAGCAAAATTTTGGCCAAAGACACTAAAATAGCCCCAGTTAAATCAGATGTCTTTAGGATGCCACTGCCAAGTCCTCCTAAGTAACAGCAAAGAATTTCACGACTTGGTGCAATGTAACCATGTAAGGGCAACTCTGTCCATCTTGTACAGTACAAGTACAGTTCATTCCCTTTCATGGCTCTGGAATATCTGAACTATTCTTGTTCCAGGAAAACAAAGAACATTTTACATCACAATACTAGAAAATGCAACTGAAAATTGCATTTTTAAAGGGACACATGTCCTCCCTTGTTAGGATTCTGCAGAAATTCTTGTAAGACTCATGTGCAGTCTTGCTGGTGACAACAGCATGAACTCCAGGAAGCCTTTAGCACAGCACTAATCCATTCCCAACTGAACTGTTTTAGGATATGGCACCATTACATTTCTTATTTTGACAAGAAATTGATGAAAGAGTAATTTGTTTCAATTTTTTTTAACGTTCTGAAAACCAAATGGCAACAATCAGTATGACAAAGCCCAGAACATTTTAAATTACAACATTATTTTTAAATACTTAAAACACAAGTGTAAATTTGGTACAGCTGTATGCTAATGGGGTTGTATTGCTCAAAAAGACATCTGAGAGACCTCAAGTTCGTCTTGAACTTTTAAGCTGTCAGTTCACTTGCCTTATGCTGGAATTCCACTGAAATCCACATGGATGAACAGAGTCTCAGGGGATTAGAAACAAGTCAACAATATCTAAAGTCTTTGGTAAACCAGGCATTTATCAGCAGTAAACAGTTAGTGGTTTTATTTAAAGTTCTACCCTAATGCCAAGGCAGAAGCAGCTAATTTAAGATATGTCAGAAAAAAACCATCAAGTCCAATTAAAATTTATCTCCTCTTACTGCATACAAAGGAAAGTAATAAGGATTGGACATATGCCAAGCTGAAATCTCTCCAGTTTGGAGACTGTATTTGTCTTTCCAGAAAGTGTTTCCACAGATTTATCTACTGGAAAAATAAATTATTTCTAGGAGAATCACAACTAACAGTGTCACCCTCCCCCACCACTCCCCATTCCCCCCCCCCTTTTTTTTTTTTTTAATGCATTTTTCATGGTTAACTTAGATGTCAGAAGAACATGGCTCAAAAATAAACTGTGGGTTCATTTTTCCCCCTCTAATTTTAGCATTTAAAAGGTCTCTCTCATGTACTTTCTGTATTAAGTTAAATGTGAACTCAACACTAAGCATTTTTTTTTGGGTCTTTTTAGCTGAGTTGCCCCTACTCAAAACATCCAGGAGTTTATCTATTAAAAGTACTGTCAGCTCAGAGGAGTACTAGTAAATTCAAGTGTTATCAGTGGGAAGAGAGAATGTGCAGCCAAAGATGTTTTAGGTAATGGCTATGCTCAAATTCAGCCTGCTGAGTTCTGACTGGTGAAATTGCTCCTGAAATAAAGGTTTAGTTATGTACTTCACTGCATCTGTTCACTCTAAATCCTAATTTATTTCCTGATTTGAGAAAAAACTGATTCAATTAAAAAAAATCACACTACACTGTAACTACACATTAACGTGGCTTGATTTGCTATACTTAGATTCAATATCTACCCATGCTGCCAAGACAGGATCTTCCAAAGAAATATGCTGCACTTTGATATGGCTGAGAAGTAAAAAAAAAATACAGGTAAGGAGAAAGATGCTACACTTGGGTAGTTCAGTCGTTCTCCTTAGTCCAGAGGTGACAGCATCCCTGTTCCAGGCTCTCCTGAGAGAGGCCTGAGCCTTGTTTCCCACACCCACATCCACAGCAACTTGCAAACAAGTCAGAAATAAGCCACATGGTAACCAGCTCGACATGGTGACAGCTTAAAGCATAAACAGGAAAGTATCACCAAACAGCTCCTATCACTTGGGAGAACTTTGAGAGGGTCTATGCAGAGATTTGAGTACAGACAACTGCAAATGCTGTGCTAGAGATCATCACAGAGCAGGGGACGTGGTAAAATCTGGATATATCCTCTCAGTAATGCCTGAGAACATGCAGATCAAAATACATGACCAGGTCAGCCTGTGTAGTTGTAGATACTATGAAACTGGTAAAATGCAGCCAACAATGGAAATTTTCAACACAAGTCATATCATACTTCCTTATTTTAAAACCAAACCCATGTATGATGGTGTATTTAAGTGATAAGCACAAGCTGACAAATAAACCCTCTGTGTGCAAAAAAATCTACCAAAAAGCAGACATCTGGAAGGAAGAACTTTGTTGTATCCCTCCCACAAAACAAAAATCTAAGAGACATACCACTAGAAAAGATATCATGCTTTCAGGTCCTTGTGGAATTACAGCCAAAGTAAATTAGAAATCTCTTTTCCCAACAGAGGTGCTAATTTTTTTGACTAGACACTTTAAAACACAGAAGTACAAAGTGTCTGCTCTTCTCTGAACACCCTTCTCCTTTCCCATACCCACATCTTAGTGCCAGCAGCTGTTTCCAGCCTAATACTTACTGCAATTTTATTTCTCCATTTCTGCAGGCAGGACAGGAAAAAAAGATTGTGGAGAGCTGCAATTCATTGCAGTGCTTAAGGCTGTTAACACACAACAAGGTTCTAACACTGCTACAAGCACCATGTGAGATCCTGATGGCTCTTTAATGCAGCTGCAGCACCCCGAGCACAGCACTTGCAAATGCAACACCAAAGCCCAGGGTGAAGAGCTGATTAAAAAAAGGCCATGAAACAACATATTTCTGTATTTCTGGCATGTTTTTGGCACATAAACCGAGCTCAAATTAAAGCTAAACACCTCAAGCAAAACAGGTAAAATCTTGAAACAACTCTGTCAAACTACATCATAAAAACTTCTGTGTTAGCTCAAAAGCACAAAGTGATGGAAATGAAGCAGAGATTTGGAACAAACAGATAAGAGAAGAAATATTAGCAGAACCATTCAAACTGCTTGTTTCCTCCCTTGGTTTTGCTAGAAAGATAGCAAAACCCCTCAAACAACAGCAGGTGGAAAGTCTATTCCAGCTATTAAAGGGCTTTCAATTAATTTATTAAAATATTGGCAAATATTCAGATTTATTTCTTCCAAAATTATTCCCCACTTTTCAACACTGAAGTCCTAAGTAAAAGGGCAAAACTTTTAAGTCTCCCTCAACTGGCAAGCAATCTATTAGTATATAAGTATTCCTGGTTATTTTTCCATGAATTCCAGTTTCATTAATTTACTTAAAGAATGTGTCAATGGCAGAAGAAATATTGTGAGCCTCTATGAGCAGAAAACCCAATAAACTGTGATAACAAAATGAGAAGAATCCCCTTAGTTTTTCCACTGAAAAAGCAGCAAACTGAAATGCTCTACCACAGATGAAAAAAGCACTTGTGCTACAACTGAAAAACTTATTAAATCTGGAAAGATGACAGTGAATCAAAGAGTGAAGTGGAAATTCCTGAATTTCAATTCTGGCCTTGCCTTAACAAGCTGATTTATTTTAAGAATTCACGATCAGAATCTGTATATTTTTTACACATCTCTAAGTCTTTCAATCATAATAAATCCGACGATGTTTATGAACTGAACAAAAGACACAGCACAATACAGGTCTGAATTGTTTATTTCACATCACATGTCCCATACCGAAGTTAGTTAAAGTTCCTACAAGAAAATGAAATAAACATTGTTACAAACCAATTTGCTTCAACAGCTCCAAGTAAATATTCTTGAGCAACTGTGTAATCATCCTATAAATACAATGTACACACTGTCATCCTAAGAGCTGGATTTGGGTATGGAAGTTACCCCTGCAAGAGTTAGAGGATAGCATAAACATACATACTTGGAAACAATTCCATCATTTTTTGCCAGGCGCAGAATGGAGTCGTCTGATTCACCCTTTAAGAAACAAAATGAAAATATTCTGAAGTGTCCAAATAATGGCTGACACACATGGGAAAGAGAGGCAGCTGCAGCAGTTAATGCTGGCAGGGAAATGCAAATGCCTTCCACAGATCCTGACATTTTATACACAGATTAGTGTTTTCAAAATAAACAGTTAATTCTTTTTCATCCTTAAGGATAAGAAACAGTTTTAACTTGAAGGTATACTTTTGGGTAAGTGGGACTTGTGATGAAGCTTCTAAGAAGCTTCACACCATGTTTAACAACTTGAAGTCATTGTAGTATCCTCTCAAATAATTGTAAACAACAGATAAAAGCCAGGTATTAAGTGTCTTGGTACATTCTTAGGAGAAATCACTTGCATCCTTTAATGATTTAAAAAAAAAAACACACATAATTCTACAAACCAAAGTATTAAGAAAACAAACAAACAAACAAGAACCCAGAAGAAACTGATTATACCAACTTAAACTGAGGCCCTGGCACAGGATGCCCAAAGTTGTGGCTGCCCCGTCCCTGGAAGTGTCCAAGGCCAGGTTGGATGGAGCCCTGATCATCCTGGTCTAGTGGAAGGGGCTCAAACTGAATGATCTTTAAGGTCCCTTCAACGCCCAACCATTCTGGGATTCTATGAATTCGTTCACATTTCCCTCTTGTCGTTCCATGACCCCCACAAAAGTTCTTGCTTGAGAATGAGCTGAAGGCACATTGTGTTTCCAGGGCTAAATATACATCTCATTAATTACTAATCAACATGTAAGGAAGCAGGACAATTTTGTAGGTGAGGAAAGCACTCACCATCCTCCGGATTGGGCCACAAATGGCGTAAGTCTTGAACTGGCCGTTCACTCTGCCTGTCACCTTGTCAACCTGAAATTACAGCCAAGTTACTCCACACAGATTCTTGTAAGGTTTTATGCTCTTACATCACACTTGCAAAGTTAAAAGCTGCAGAAAAACACCTGCAGTGTTGAGTAAGTAAACTACAGAAACTCCAGGCAAATACTAGAATAAATAAATAAAGTTAGAAGGTCAATTACAGATAATCTCTGCACAGCAAATCCAGTTACATAGTGCAGCTGTAAAATTTAGTGGATCACACAGAATAGCAAAAAGTGGTAGATAAAAGGTATTTGAGTTCTGAGCAAATGGAAAAGTTCAATGTGAAGTTTGCTTGTGGATTTTTTCCTGCCTTTACGATTTTTTTTCATGTTTCTTTTAACTAAGGTCAGTATCCTGGAAAATTGAACTGAAGGGGGGAAGGGGACAGACTTGTTACATAGTTAATAAAATGCTCAAGTTGAGAGACATAAATTGTCTCACTTTCTCCAGCTGCTGAGAATTTTAACAAAAAAAAAGACTAAACAATATAAATCATGAAATTAAACAGCGTGGTGAACCCTGTAATACCAGGTGGGTTTGTTTCCCCATTCTGCTAATCTCTGATCCTTTGAAAACAAGAAATAGGGATCCCTGAAGGAATGAAACATGGTGAACAAGGAATGTATTTGCCCTAACATTTACAGGAAATGACAAACAGAGCATTTTTTAAAGTCAGCTAACACAAGAGACTCTGATGTTTAAAAAATATGGGAATGTGGCCTTGTGGTCTCCCATTCAAGAACTAATCAAGCTCTATAGCTCATAAGCTACAGGAAACACTGTCCACAGAAATCCTGAAAGGTGAAAAGCAATGAACAAACGGGAAAAAAACCCCAAATCATGCTAAAAGGAGTTTAAATCAACTGGGGCCCACATTCATTAACTGGGAACCTGCAGGAGTCAAGGTCTACTGTGGCTTTTTTGAATGAATTATTGGAAATGCATCACAAGCTGTTTTATTCCTCAGCTTCTATCCCAAGTTTAAAGGTGTAGCTCTCTCATCACATACTTCTGTTAAGACACTTACCTCAGAAATATTTATCTGAATGGAAGCATGATCCTTGGCACCAATGATTCGGTTGCTAGCAGAGCTAAGGAATAACAAAAGATATATTTAAACAAAAGGAAACAGACAGTAACAGTGACAAAAAAAGCTACTAAAGCCAAGTCTACAGGCAAATAAGACTGCTCAAGAGATTTAGGCAGTTACAGTTTGAGCTTTCAATACTTAGAAAATTAAAATGCAGTTTCAAGTATATCTAAAGGAAACTTTCAAGTGGTAGCATCATGCAGGCCTTCAAAACACAGAATGTTATTTTTTTTCTTTTCTAAAATGCAAAAGCTACAGCAATCAAGGTAATTCTTAAGATTATAGTTTCTATGCCTTTTTTCATTGGAAGGCATTACAGCTGTCAAAGACACTCAGGTTGGACTGGGCTTGGAGCAACCTGTGATAGTGGAAGGTGTTGTTGTCCATGGCAGGGGGTTGGAATGAGATGAGCTTTAAGGTCCTTTCCAGCCCAAACCATTCTGTGATTCTATGTGCTGTCACTGCCTCCCTAATTACCACTGGCAGTTTTGGAACAGGAGATGCAGAGCATTCTCAACTTCAGTCTTTGGTTCACGTACTTCACATAAAGTACTTAAAAATACAGGAAGGGATAGAAAACATTCCCCATCGCCCCAGATGCTCGGTGCTACAGAAGCCTCCTTGCAGAGGCTGCACCCGCCTCGTGTCCATTGCCAGCCCCGGACCCCGCTCACCATTTCCGAGGGACATAAAGGTCCACGAACTCCCCGGCGTCGTTCTGCATCTCGTCGGGATCCCCGCTGAGGGCACTAAGCAGCAATACCTGGAAGAATCACGGAATATCCCGAGCTGGAAGGGACCCACAAGGACCGCCCAGTCCCACCCGTGGCCGTGCACTGACACCCCAACACTCCCACCATGTGAGCTCCGTGGCCACTGCCCCGGGGAGCCTGTTCCGTCCCCTCCCGGGGAAGCGGCGAGGCGGCCCGGAGCCCGGGCACGGCGGGCAGAGCCCCCCTGAGCTCCCCCCAGAACCCCCAGAGCCCCCTGAGCTCCCCCAGAGCCCCTCTGAGCTCCCCCAGAGCCCCTCTGAGCTCCCCAGAGCCCCCTGAGCTCCCCCAGAGCCCCCGGTCCCCGAGCGGCGCCGCCATCGCTCCCACCTCGCGGGCGGCCGGGGCGGAAAGGGCCGGGCGGGGCCGGACACGGAAACACGCGGAGGCTCCGCAGCCCTTCCCGCCCCGCCCTCCCCGTGACGGGAGCGGGGAGCGGGAATCCCTCCCCCCCAGGGATGGAGGGACCCACCGTGGCCCCCGGACCGCTCCGGCTGTGTCCCGCCCTCCCCCGGTTGGGGGGGGGATCATGGAACGGGGGTCTTTGCCCCGTTCCCCTGCCCGGGGTCACAGCGCCACTCACCCGCGGGGACATTCCAAACCCACGGGGCGTTGCGGGGCCACCCGCGCCAGGGGACCCTGCCTTGGCACTGGGAGATCCCCAGAGGTCCCTTCCAGCCCGAACTATTCTGTAATTCCGTGGCCAGACCACCCCCGGCTCCCTCCTGGAATACCCTCATTCCAAGCTTCCAGAGAGGGTGCAGCAGAGGCCACAGTGATGATCCCTCTTAGGAGAGACTGCAGGAGCTGGGCCTGCTTAGTCTGGAGAAGATGGACAGGGGATCTCATTAGTGCATATAAATATCTCCGAGGCACCTGTCAAGAGGATGGTAGCAATGGGAGAAGGAGTAATGGGTACAAAATTAATGAGTACAAAGTGAAAGAGAGGAAATTTAGGCTTAGCTATTAGGAAGAATTTCTCCCCTGTGATGGTAGTGAGGCACTGGAACAGGTTGCCCAGGGAGGTTGTGGATGCCCCAGCCCTGGCAGTGGCTCAAGGGCAGGTTGGATAAGGCCTTGAGCAACCTGATCTAGCAGGAGATGACCCTGTCCATGGCATGTTCTTGACTCTCTTTAACATTCTATGATTCTATGGTACCAGACTCTTTTCAGAGAATCATAGAATGTTTTTTCAGAGTCTGGTACCTGACTCTTGTCAGTGACAGCACAAGGAGCAATGGCTATAAAAGAAAACAGAGGAAGCTCCACCACTAAGTGAGGGAGAACTTTACACTGAGGATTGCAGAGCCCTGAACAGGCTGCCTAGGGAGGTCTCCCTCTCTGGAGACATTCCAAACCCACCTGGACATGTTCCTTTGTCATCTGCTCCAGGTGGATGCACTGGATGATCTCCAGAGGTCCCTTCCAACCCCAACCATTCTGTGATTCCAGAACAAGACACTTGGTTACAAAACATGTTTTGTAAAAACAGGTTTTATTTCACAGCATCTTAATTTCACAGAAAAAACACAAAAATAAAATAAAAAAAAAAAAACCCAAAAAACAAACCAGGCTACAACTCAGACATTTAAATAATGGGAGCATGACAAAACCAGAGCAGTATTGTTTACAGGAAAATGTACAGCTTCTTATCAAGAGAGTTCTCCGTGCTGAGCCACCCCAGCAGCACCTTCACACAGCAAAAGAACCCCCACCCCAAACGTAAACCTGTTTCTCTTCAGAGCAAGAGGAGTTTGGCTGTGAAAAACGTAAACCAGCAGATCTGGGGTTTATTTCAGGTCCCACGTTGAGTTTACGAACAGAAAACGTACTAATAGTCCTTTGCCACATGGTGGCAGCTTTTAGGTGGAAAGAGAGAGAGATTCCCACACAGGACTGCGAGCTGCGCTCTGGAAATGGGAAAAACCAACACACAAACACACAGAACTGGTGCATCTCTGCAGAAGGGCTGTTTCTGCACAGACACACAAGGTGCCTGATGTACAAGCCCCAGGCTACGGCTCTGGGCAGCATCACCCCAGCCCCAGGCTCTGCCAGAGACTGGCACAGCACTCGCTGCCCTGCGTCATCTTTGGCCTGTGCTCCCAACAGCTTCTGAACTCAATTGTGTGCCCAAGCCAAGTTTTAGAATAACTATTAAGACAACATTCAGCATTCTGTAATTTAATGCTCCTTATCCTAATTTGTTCTCCTGGAAGAAAACAAAAGCTTGCCGGTTTGTGACGTGATTCTGGGAGTGTAATTACAGCCCAGATGGCCACTTCAACTAGACAAACTTCCACTGAATAGAGACTGCAAAGTGTTGCAGACCAAAGAGCAGTTTTTTTCCCCTTAGATGGTGAGAAAGGAAAGTTAATTTTGTTACGTAAAACTCTTTATACACTAAACAAAGAAGTTCCCAGAGGAAAGGTATTTTCTCATTTCATTCATACTATCCAAGCTTTTCTGGAGACACCCTGTGAGAAATTTCTTTGCTCAGTTGTACCTCTGTCCCCTCTACAATGCCTTGAGGAAATGCTGGACCACCTCAGCTGTCTCCACCACTGTTTGCTAGTTTGGAGGCTCATTGCACACTAGATGTTTAGTACATCACTATTTCTGCATGCAAGCACAGTTATATTCAGTAGAAAGTTTAACTAGTAGGTAGTTTTTTAAACCTTTTGGAAGATAACTGGCAAGCTTACTGTCTAAGCTATTAGCTACCATCTCCCTTATGGAGACTGGAAAATCCTTCTGTGTTAGAGAAATCACAAGCATATTAAATTTTACACAAATACTTTGAAGCTACATACAGCTGAACACAGTTACAAAAGGTTTGATAGTCACTGTAACTATTATATATGAAAAATACACTTTGAGCCCTACTCAAAGAGGAAGGGGCTCCAGTAAAGTTTGCTGCAGTTCTAATGAAGCCAAATTAGCTTCAGACAAAACAAGGCTGAAGAGCAAAGATTCAGTCTTGGTTTTGGCTACGACCAACATTTAATACAAGGAACAGGAATTTACATTACTTTACACATTAGATAGCAAGTCTCTGACCTCAGCACAGGGGTCTGGTGTTTCATTTAGGAGTCAAACTTAAATGACAGATTTCTCAGTCCGAATAGCCAACTATCAGTTTTGTTCCTTGCAAAAGGACACAGTTACTTATAATATTGCTTCAGAAAATAAACCCAAGCGCCAATACCACAGAAGGTTCCAAGTACAATCAAGAATTCATTCCCAACCTGGATATTTAAAAAATAAACAAAGGAATAGCCAATGTTCAGAGAAGTTATTTAACCTGTGCGTACGCTCTGGAGCGCTGCTGGGCACCAGTCGTTGGTGGCTGCTCAGATGTGCAAGAAATGCCAGTTTTATGAGGACCATCACAGTGATGCAACGCTTGGAAGAACCGAGTTAAAAAAAGTAGCATTTTAAATACCGAGCATGCTTTGTTTCATTGGCTTTGTTTGGCAGCAGTAACTCTACTGACTTCAGACCATATATAATACAGTCACATTAAAAAGGTGCTTATTTCAGGCTATGGAACACTGAAACAAATAAAAATCCTAAATGATACATTTGACAGAGAATTGCTCTTAGTCGAGCGCTCATCTTCCACTGAAGAGTGGATCAGGACGGCAATCACTTCCGAGCTACCTCGTTCAACACGTGGTACTTCATGACATTTTCAAACCATCTGTCCTTTTTTTTAAGTGAAATGTGTTATTTTTAAGGTATTAACAGCAAATAAATTGGAATGGAGTAATTTCAATCTCGCTACTTACAGATCTATAGAATCATAGAATAGATGCCCTGTGTATCCTTAGTGCAGATATACTGGAATTGTTTTCCTTGTATGCAAGGCCGATGCAGGTAAAGAAGAAATGGCTATACAAATTCAGGATTCCCCACTAAATAACAGAACTAACTTAAAAAGCACTGGTACCAGACCAGCCAGTTTTAGGCACATCTTTAAAAAAATAAAGTATGCATTTCATTAATGTAAAAATGCGTGAAGATTCTTCGAAATATCTGAACTTTATGGTGCACTGGAATGGAAGTGATGCTTCCCTTAGTTTCAAGGAATAGAATAAATGCTTAAGAAAAAAAAAAAAAATAACCAATACCATAGTATTCTTCATAGGGAAGAGCAGTTTTAGTAAAACCAAAAAAAGATAAATAAGGAGTAATAAGCAGCCGTGACAGCTGACTGGTGAATATTTGTGCTTTAAATGTCCAAAAAGAAAACAAAAAGTTCATTAACTCTTCTCGTACCATCCCCCAGGCTTGGCATCCGTGTCCACAACACACAACTGGACAGTCTGACAACACCCTGCAGCCTTCCAAACAAGCTGGAGCCGCGGCGGGACGCGCGTGGCGAGGCCAGCGGCACCTCCACCAGCAGCATCCAGGGATGCGACCCCCGGCACCGCCGGCTGGGACGGAGCTTTGGTTAAGACTGTTGTGTGAGCCGTCTGTAATGAGGTAAAACTTGGTTTTCAGGAAGATAAAGAGCCAGTTCCAAAGCTACGAGGACGGTGAATTCGAAACCGATGAGATCCCTTCTGTTGAATCTGAATCTCTCTTCTAGTTTCTATGACAGTAACAAAACAAAACAAAGGAGGGGGAGGAAGAATCAAGTTAATCCAGATGACTTCAAGGCACTGCTAAATTAAGTCAGCATAAAACAGGAGTCAGCATTGCATGGCCTGAGCTGTACCTACAGAATCATAGTGTGTTGCCAGAGATCAGCTTATCAGCTCAGCTGTGACACCCACACAACAGTTACTGCTTCTCAGGCAAACATATGCAAGTGCAAAAATAACTTTACTGTAGGATCATTAAGACATCAGCCTGCACCAGTCAGATAACTTAATGAATTAAAAAAAAAAATTGAGGGCCCTGATGAGACATAAAATTGTCTGAAAAGGCTTGTCCTAAATGCAAGCATGCACCGCTGAAAATCTTGGCTTTAATGCTTGTCTTCACCTATGAACCAGAGAGAAGGTTCTGACAACACCTGGAAGTCTGACAGTACTTACATCTATAAGGTGTTTAACTTCGTGTTTCCTGAGATCGCTGCTGATCTTGGCTGCGAGCAGGACGCAAGCACCAGCACACAGTTTGCGGTTCTGTTTGTTGAGTTTGCCTTGGAGGACGAGCTTCTCAAAGTAAACATAAGCCATGGAGACAGTAACGGGCTCCAGATTGCACTCTTCACTCAGGTTTCTCATCTCTCTCTTCAAACTGGGAATAGGAAAAGAGATACCCCCAAAAAACATGAGAGCTCTTATGAAATGCTCTAGAAATGCTGCAGTGTGGCAACTCAGAGGAGCATATGGGCAAGACTCCTATGTGGAAAACCACCACAAGTAT